CTCATGCCCTCCCTCCTTCCACCAAATGTCCTCCCCACCCTCCTGCTTCCCTCTACTCCTGAACTGGATTATATTAGTGTTTTATTATTCTTATAAGCATGTAATTGTTTATATATTGATTTCATATCAGTATTGAATACATTGGATATTTATTTTTCCATTCTTGGGATACTTTACTAAGAAGAATGTATTTCAATTCCATCCAGGTAAATGTAAAAGATGTAAGGTCTCCATGTTTCTTAACAGCTGAGTCTGTTGATGGGTTGATGGGCACTAAGGTTGCTTCCACAATTTGGCAATTATGAATTGAGCTGCAATAAACATTTTAATGCAAATGTCTTTGTGGCAAAATGATTTTTGTTCTTCTGGGTAGATACCTAGTAAGGGGATTGCTGGGTCAAATGGAAAGTCTACTTTTAGATCTTTGAAGATTCTCTATATTTCTCTCCAAAAAGACTGTATTAGTTTACAATCCCATCAGCAGTGTAGAAGTGTTCCCTTCTCTCCACATCCATGCCAGCATCTGGTGTTTTAGGACTTTGTGATGTGGGCTAATCTTGCTGGAGTTAGGTGATATCTTAGAGGGGTTTTGATTTGCATTTGTCTGATGATTAAAGACGATAAGCATTTTTTCATGTGTTTGTTGACCATTTGTCTGTCATGCATGTATTTTAAATATGCATATACACTCTATGGAAACCGTGTATAAGACTGATGGTAATGGGGTGAGCAGGATCAGCATTCTTTCATAAGGCTTTATGATAAAGGAAGTCATGTGTCTGATACTATTTTTTTAGTATACATCATAATGAATCATCTTAGATTAGGGTTCTGCTGAATATTTTCTATAGCCTGTTATTTCTAGAAAATAAAAGCATCTTCAGTTGGCACAGCATTTACTAAAGTAAAGTGTTCTATTCATCACTCAATAAGATGCTCTGTGAAAAAGATTTTGTAAGTAAGGTTTGAGTAGGTCTGTGCCATATACTTTCTTAAGATATACAGTGTGTGTTATTGTCTTAAAATTATGCAAAATATTAATTAAATTATTTTAGCTTAGTATCTCCCAAACTCATTTTACCAGAGAACTTTTCTCTCTTCTATGCATCATCTGTTAATATAGTAGTCAGGAGATTCTGTGAAACACACTATTAGAGTATAAATTAGAAATTCTGTTTCTCATTTCTTTGGGCTTCTTATTCTTAGCCTAGAAAATAGCATTTAGAAAACAAGTTATTGTATTTCACATAATGAAAATTCTATAAAGAAGTTTATTGTTTATTTCATATTACTTTAGCTAATAAAGCACTATTATCATCTAGTAGTATCATCCTCTCTTATTAGAAAAAACATTGGCTGAGAACTTCTTTTTTAACTTGCTTATTCAACTATTCTTTATTCATTCAATGAAAATTATGAATAGAAACATTTTTTAGCATATTATGAGAAGAAACTCTTGAACTGCATAAAACTACATTGATTGAAATGAGCATAAAAGGATCATAATTTGAATTTTAAAAGATAAGTTAAATTAGTCCTAGTCAAGGAGTATGAAAAAATATCAAGTTGGTATGGGCCAATTTTGTGATATGCTTATCAAGTTTACTAATAAGAACCAATTATAGGGTTCAATATGAAATCTCCAGTACCTGTAATACATTCCTTGTCATTCTCTGAAAGAGTTCCCAGTCTAAAAGGCTGAGAATTACGCCTGCTATCTTGTGCTGTTATAACATTCCCTAGAACATTGTCTTCTTTGGTTACTAAGCATGGGCAATCATAGACAATCATATAGCAGGGGTCCAGGCATTTTCTTTGGTCATTGTATAATCAACTCAACTAATTTCATCAGAGACTTTAGGAATAGAATAAAAGAATAGGGTACTTTGGTTCACATATTCTATTTAGTAAAAACACACCTTTATGGGGC